GGGCGCGGGCTTGACAAGAAAGGCGCGCCTGGGCGAGAGAAAGCATGGACCGCCGGGGCCAGCCTTCCAGCTCACGGGAGCAGCAGCAACAGCAGCAGGAGCCGGACGGCTCCACAAGAGGAATTGCCGGCTTCCCATAGTGAACAGGGGCGGCAGGAGATTCCTTCCTCCCCCCCGCCCACCTCACCCTCTGGCTGGCTTCCAAAGGACCAACAAGGGCGGCGGAGCCTCTTCGCCCCGCCGGTGGTGACCAGTGGGCGGAGAGAAAGGCCGCCGGCCAGTCGGGTGGGTGAAAGATGGGGCTTCCTTTTTGTGACATCACCCTCTCCCCCCTCAGGAAAGCTGCTCCACCCCCTCCCTCATTGCCGAGGTGCCCCCCAGAGTCCCTGGCCCGCAGCTCCCACCCTTCCAACCACCCTCCCGCCGGCGAGGCTGCTTCTGCCGCGGCCGCCCCAAACCGGCGCTTGCCGGCGATGGACTCACCACGAGGAGGCTAGAGACAAGGGTGACGCCTCGGGAGGCCCGGGGGAAGGCAGGCACGGCGGCGACGGCGGCCGGAGCCGCAGGAGCCTCCATGGCTGCCACTGGGGGCTGAGCAAAGGCGTCTCTGGGCAGCGGCAGCCGGAGGCCCCTACCGAGCCATGGGGACCGGGAGCCGAGAGGGGCGTGCCTGACCCACCACCGCCGGGGGAGGAGCTGCTGCCCATCTAGCAGCCCCGCCGTCCCATTGCCGGGCAGCGAAAGGAGGGCAGGCGGGGTGGCAGCGGGTGCAGGCTCGGCAAGAAAGGCGCGCCTGGGCGAGAGAAAGCGCGGACCGGCCGGGCCAGCCTTCCAGCTCCCGGGAGCAGCAGCAGCAACAACAGCAGGAGCCGGCCGGCTCCGCAAGAGGAATTGCCGGCTTCCCATAGCGAGCAGGGGCGGCAGGAGATTCCTTCCTCCCCCCGCCCACCTCACCCTCCGGCCGGCTTCCGAAGGACCAACAAGGGCGAGATGAGTGCTGTCAATGTTCATTAAAATAAGCCCTCCCCTGAAAATAAGCCCTCTGGTGTTTTTCTTTCCCCAAAAAATAACAAGACAGTGTCTTATTATCGGAGAAACACGGTAGTCTGGGGTACCTCCTGTATGAGGACAGGCTACAGCATTTGGGGCTCTTTAGTGTAGAGAAAAGGTGCCTGAGGGGGGAACATGATTGAGACGTATAAAATTATGCAGGGGATGAATAAAGTGGATAGAGGGAAGCTCTTTTCCCTCTCATGCAACCCCAGAACCAGGGGACATCCCCTCCAATTGATGTTGGGAGAGTGAGAACAGATCAAAGAAAATACTTCTTGACCCAGCGAGTTGTTAGTCTGTGGAAACCCTTGCCACAGGATGTGGTCATGGCATCTGGCCTAGATACCTTTAAAGGGAGGATTGGAAAGATTCCTGGAGGAAAAGTCCATTGCAAGTTATAAGCCATGATGGGGATGTATCATCTCCAGGCTTAGAAGGAGATTACTTACTTCCAAATGCCAGGTGTGGGGGTGGGTTATCAGGAGATAGGGATCTAGTGGTCTCGTGTGCTCCCCGAGGCATCTGGTGGGGGCCACTGTGAGATCCAGGAAGCTGGACTAGATGAGCCTTTGGCCTGGTCCAGCAGGGCTCTTCTTACATTCTTATGTACAACTTCCAGAGTCCTCCATGGTGCACGACCACTGCGAGGTGTACTCAAAAACAGTAATTTTTCCAAGCTGTGATCCATCTTGCAGAGAGCAGCTGCCTCTGAACAGTAAGATTGCAGGCTAAAGTCTTTCCCATCCTCAGATCCCTTCCACCCACAGAGGTTAGGTATGAAACTGGAGCCATCTCCGTCAAAGCGCCAACTTTATGCCTGGGCTCTATCTGGCTCTTCCTCTCCTGAAGTGACGTCGGCCATAGAGGAAGGCAGACACATACTGTACGCGATCACGGATGTATCTCTCTCTCTCCATCTGCAGGTGGTTGTGGCGACAAACATTGCAGAGACATCTCTGACCATCGACGGCATCATCTACGTGATTGACCCTGGGTTTTGCAAGCAGAAGAGCTACAACGCTCGCACAGGCATGGAGTCCCTCATTGTCACTCCTTGTTCTCGGGTATTCGGCTTCAGTACTTCGCTAACACATTTCCCTCCCCTGCAACCGGTTTGGTCGACCTCAGTGTTCAGATTCTAAGCCAAGTCTTCTTCAAGTACATGCCTGTATTTCTCCTTTAACTGGATTCTTTTCTTCTTTATGTTTATTGTGTATAATTAACAGGGAACAACATATTGGACTTAGAATGACGTCTAGTCTGCTAAGCATACAATGTGGAGGGCAAGGCGGCTGCATAAATTAGGGACTTGGACTCTTTAAAGCCGCCAGGTTGTAATCTGGTTTTTCGTAGCTCAATGTCTCCAAGGTGGTTCTTCTGAAAAAATGAAGTTTGAACCATAAAAGCTCACACGAAAATAAAGTTGTTCATCTTTCAAGGACCAAATTATTTTGCATTTCTCCCTCCCTCTCTTTTTCTTTTCCAATTTTAATTTTGCCAGATGTCTATTTCTTTAGAAACACAGTACAGTGTAGATCAAACGCTAGTGAGGCAAGGAAAAAAAAGTGTTGTTGATAACTCCTCTGAAAAGCATGTTAGAAACATTTCATTTCTTTTTTATTGTTTGCACCCTACCTTTTCCTTAAGAAAACCCAAGGCAGCTTATAATAGTAAAACAGACAGTTCTGAAAGCTAAAAATGGATATATACAGTAGAGTACAATATCGAAAAATTGTATCATATAAAGACTGCTACATAAAAATGGTGTAAAACTATTGAAGAAAGCAAATTAAAAATTAAATAGATACAGCTTCAGTTTTAAAAGGCCCTTGTTATGCAGCCCGTTACTGGGGGTGGAAGTCTGCCTGCAGAGAAAAAAACTTGATCTCTTGCAGAAGGACAGCAAAGGAGGGGGGGAGGCAGCCTGGCTTCCTATGGGAGGGAGTTCCAAAGTTTGGGAGCAGCAACAGAGAAGGCCCTTTTTCATGTCCTCACCATAGATACCTCTGAAGGTGGCAGGATGGAGAGAAAGGCCTCCCGTAATGTGGTGTAGTGCGATAGAGTAATGAACTGGAGCTCAGGAGACTTGGGTTCAGTTCCCCCCACTCAGCCTTGGACACACTCCCTGGGGGAGCGGAACTGGTAAAACCACGCCTTAAATCCCTCACTTACCTGGAAAGCCCTAAGGAAATTTTGATTCGACAGCACATAACAACAAAAACGGATTTTTAAAATCCAGACAGGCTCATAGAGAAGGATTATTTATTTATTTATTAAATTTATACCCCGCCCATCTAGACCGAAGTCTACTTTGGGCAGCTAACAATTAAAAATGGAATAAAAACAATATAATAAAATAAAACAACAAGGATGTATTTATTCTATTTTATTTTATTTATACCCCACCAATCTGGTCAATATGACCACTCAATGCAGCTTCCAGGCATGTAAAATACAGTAACATATACATATAATGAATAAAAAGTAAAAAATCAATAATATACTATAAACAATTAACAATAAGCAACAGACAATAAATAATAAACATATTCTTTAAGATGGTAATATATAAAAATAGATTAAAGAAAGAAAAATTAAGTGTTATCTGGGGGGAAAGCCTGCTTAAACATCCAAGTTTTTAGATGGGTCTTAAAAATGCCCAGCGACGGGGCCTCACGAATCTCTGGAGGAAGGTTGTTCCAGAGGCGAGGAGCCACCGATGAGAAGGCCCGATTTCTTGTTTTTTCCTCTCGGGCCTCCCTCGGCGTCAGGCTCCTCAGCCTCACCTCCTGACTCGATCGAGTGATACGGGTAGTTCTTGGTGGGAGTAGACGTAGTCTTTTAGATACATTTGAGTTTATGTGCACTGAAACGCTAGAGAAAAATTGGATTGCCCAAGTGCTAAACTTTTGATATGTGACTCCCCCCCTCAAATACATGTTTTGATTTGTCCTGGATTTGGGGTTCTGTTTAAAGACTTCCAGGTGTTTGTTGAGGTGGTGTTTTTCTAGTATGTTTTTGAATTTTGTCTTCACAGAGTTTGTGAGCCTTCAGTGGGCCTTGCTCATGTTTTCAAGCCTGGTTTCTCCATTTTTGTGAAAACTCACGTGCCACGAAGCGAAACCAGGCTTCCTACATACATGGCATGCTAAAGAACAGTGTGGAATGTTGAGCTCTCTCTTGATTCACTGACATGTTTGCTAGTGCTTCTCCTAATGCCTACACCCTCCCTAGAATCTCCAGACGTCGCGTGCATTTTGTAATACCATTCTCTCTTCCCTTCCCCCCCCCCATTTCAGGCATCTGCCAACCAGCGAGCTGGACGGGCTGGCCGTGTGGCCGCAGGGAAGTGCTTCCGCCTCTACACCGCCTGGGCCTACAAGAATGAGATGGAAGAGACCACCGTGCCAGAGATTCAGAGGACCAATTTGGGCAACGTTGTGCTGCTTCTCAAAAGCTTAGGTGGGTGGCAACGCAATCTAAGATGGGGAAAGATGCACACCGTTCCCATACCTCATTCTAGAACACTTTATAAAGTCTTCCCTCAATAAGAACAGGAACACTTGCATGTGGGGAGAATGCATTCTTTGCTGGTGCAAATACAGTGGTGCCTTGCTTAATGAGCGCACCGTTTAATGACAAATCCGCACAGCGACGTGTTTTTTTGCGATCGCTAATGTAATCTCATTGCAATGTTTTAATAGGCAAAACATCGTATTGCGATGATCGGTAAGCGTTTCGCTTACCGATCTTCGCATTGCGATGTTTTGGGAACAACTGATCGCGGTTCCAAAATGGCTGCTGGGTGCAGAAAATGGCTGCCTGCCGTGTTTTTGCAACCTGCTCTCGTTTACCCGATTCAGAGGACCAATTTGGGCAACGTTGTGCTGCTTCTCAAAAGCTTAGGTGGGTGGCAAGGCAATCTAAGATGGGGAAAGATGCACACTGTTCCCATACCTCATTCTAGAACACCTTATAAAGTCTTCACTGCCGGATCAACAAAATGGCCACCCGCAGCGTTTTCGTGCCGAATCCTCACTTACCGAGGTGGTGAAAATGGCGGCCGGATGGAGGATTCCCCACATAGCGGTGAGGTTTTCTCCAATAGGAAAGCGTTAAACGGAGTTTCATGCGTTCCTGTGGGTTCTCCCCCCCCCGCATAGCGACGAATCCGGATAGCGATGATAATCCTGGAACAGATTAATGTCACCATGCGGGGCACCACTGTAGTTAGGTCTTGAGATCTTACAGAGAGGCTGACTGGGAAAGGTGCTTCCTAACCTGCTGCTCTTCTGTTTCTCCTTCAGGCATCAACGATCTCATCCACTTTGACTTCATGGACCCCCCTCCCCATGAAACTCTCGTGCTGGCCCTGGAGCAGCTCTATGCCCTGGGGGCCCTCAACCATCTTGGTGAGCTCACCAAGGTATGGCTTCTTAGGTTCCAAGCCATGTCTCCAGGCAAAGACACCTATCTGGGACATGGGCGTGATTCCCCAACCAGCCTTTCTCCTTCAGTGGGAATGGTGTTGGAAACAAAAAAGGAAGGTCATCTTCAGGTCTACCAAGCACTGCCAGTTCCTCCCCAGTTCAAGGCTGCATGGATGCCCAATGGCTTTCATAGTGGTCGTGATAGATCTTCTGGTCTTCCCATTCCTTCAGAACAGATCAGTGGGGGGAATTCTTATTCTTTTGTATATAAGTGTTGGTCTTCAAGGGGGGGGGCAGATCCAGCACTTCACTTCACAGCTAAGCTACAAAGCTTGCTGGGTGGCGCACAAGTTAGCCTTAGGGCAGTGGTTCCCGAACATTTTGGCCACATGGTTCCCTTGATTTACTGACCTCTGGCTGTGGCTCCCCTTGCTCGGAGGGGCCATCAGGGGTCTCACTGCCACCTGGGGCAGGATCTTGACACGCATACACCCAGCCATCCCATCTTCTCCTCCAAATATCCCAAAAGGATCACCTCCTTCCAGGTCCTGATGCAGGAAAACCAGGAAGCCACCTGGCAATCACTTCCACTGGAGACCATAAAGATGGGGAAAGGAGAGGCAGGCACACGGAAGCTTCCGCTTCCGCTTCCTGTTGAGGCGATAGAGGTGCTGTTCATATAAACAGCCCTCATCGCTCTGTGTTCCATCCCTTTTCCCGCGGCGCCCGCGGCTGGGTTTCATGATGTCCTATGGAGTTGCCATGCATAGTTTGGGAACCCCCAGCATTAGGATAAAAAATGGAGGGGAGGCACTTATGCTGCCCTTAGTGATTTTGAAAAGATGGAGTGTGAGATGCAAATATAATAAACAGTGGTGGATACTTTGAATGGGTTCACCATGGACTTCTCTATCTTCTGCTCAGCAACAGTCAAAAACTGGCATCTTGAGACAGGAGGTGAAACACATGAATAGGTACCATGTATTAAACTGTGTCAGATATTCCTCAGGAAGATTTAGATATTCCCTTGATTATCACCAATAACTATTGTTATTTATGGTAAAGTAAAACTATATTATATGAGTGACACAAATACAAATGCTTTAAAATAATTATTGAATATACGTACATGTTAACACAGTTAAATCGAAAGGTTCTGCTTTCATCGTGAACATTGAAATGGTGTTCACTGGGGCAGTTTGTCATTCAGTTACCTTTCGGTGAGGACAGAAGGGATCAGTTATCTCCCGGTGAGGACAGAAGTGTCAAGATGTAATGGTTGCCCCCCCCACACAAGATGGATCTATAATACTTAGAACTGCAGAGCTGGAAGAGGGGGACCCTCTGGATCATTGAATCCAGCTTCTGTCAATGAGGCACAGAGAGGAATTGAACTCAAAACCTCTGGCCCCACAGCCAAATAATCCCTGAGCTATCCAGTAGTGACACATTATAACGGTGAAGTCACCTTTGGTAACCTTTGTTTGATCAAATCTGGCCTTCCTGTGCTCTGCATTTAGCTGGGCCGGAAGATGGCAGAGCTCCCCGTGGACCCCATGCTGTCCAAGATGATCTTGGCTTCAGAACAGTGAGTCCTTCTTTGCTTTCCTTGGTCTTTTTTACCCAATTAATTATGTGCTTAGCCTCAGACACAGCCTTTGAGTAATCATGAGTGAAGCTTGTGACCTCGGTTCCTCTTCTAGATCCTCGCGTAGTCTTTTATTTCCTACTGCAGTCTTTCTAAGAAGTTTGGAAACTGAAATACCTGAGGGCAATTATGCAAATCATATAGATTTTATCAGATCTTTTTAAAATACGCTGTATTAAAATACAAATTGTATTCTATGCATTATTAGAATTCAACATGCTGAGGGGTTTTTTGTTGCGAGAGCTGAGATTTATACCTTTCACAAAACATGCAGCCCTTGTAAATAATAGCTTTTCTTAACTGGTGAACAAAACATATTGAGTTAAAAACTTGAAATAATGGTCCAAATCCTGTTAATCTGGGTCTGCTGGTCTGAATCTATTGATATAATTGCATAACATGTAACAGGAAGTACAAAGGCTGGCTTCTTAACTAGTAGCAATTTCACTGTTGAAATTTCCACCATTGGACTTAATTATTCAGGTGGATTCCAGTCATTAAAAAGGTAAATTGGAGTGGGTGGGTGTGTTAACTAAAATGTATATACTGTATATTGTGATAGTGTTTTCTAAACCAGGGGTCACCAACCCCCGGTCTGTGGACCGGTCCCGGTTTGTGGCCTTGCCAGGGCCAGGCTATGGAGACAAATCTCCCTGCCCCGCATGTGCAGATGCATGCACACCCCTCCCACACATGGCCCATCCCACACATGCACAGATGCGGGGCCCCCGCCTGCCCACATGCTAGACTGGTCCGTGGAGGCAAAAAGATTGGGGACCACTGTTCTAAACCACATAAAAATTACCATAATATCATATAACCTGTTTAGTTATGAATTAACTTTTTTTTTTAGTTTGAATTAGGAAATCGATAACATGCTAGTGGAAAACCTTGTTTAAATTGTCTCTTAACCCTTCAGCTTTCTAGAGACTAGCTGACCCTGTGTTTTTTTTTCTCTTCTTTCTGTTTCTTCATTTCTCTGCTCTCCTGAGCTTGCCTTCCTGGGTTGCTTTCCGGTGTTACTCTGTTGCCCTGCACTCAACCCTGTTCACTTCTTCTGTTAACATTCTGCAGATACAAGTGCTCAGAGCAGATCCTCACAATTGCTGCCATGCTGTCAGTCAACAATGCGATTTTTTACCGGCCCAAAGACAAAGTGGTCCATGCCGATAATGCTCGCATGAACTTCTTCCTTCCTGGTGGAGACCACCTGGTTCTTCTCAATGTTTATAATCAGGTACGGGAGGAACATCTAGGTTGAGGGTAAGCAAAGTGTGGCCCTCCAGATGTTGCTAGACTGCAACTCCACTACTCCATTGCAGCACCATTTATTACTGATGACTGGGGCTGTTGGGTGTTGTAGTCCCAACAGCCTCTGGAGGACTACATGTTGCCCATCCCTTCTCTAGATCTTGGAGGCTGGAGATGGGATCGGGGTAAAGAGGTGCAGGGGTCCATCTGCCATCAGTTTCAGCTAAAGCTCAGGCTGGGTTGAGAAAAGAATTTCACTTCCTAGATTTGAATGGGCTGCCATGTTTGTGGTGCATTCTGTACTAAGCTGCTTAAGAGCATGGTGACTTTTGAATTAGTAGAAGACTCTCAGGGGCAGGATAGATAAGTGCATGCGTTCAGGCACCTGAGGAGTGAATTTAATCTTTGAGGCAGGATTCTCAGAATAGATGGCCTCTTGAGATCCTAATCAACCTCCATGTGTGTCTGGCACAAGAGATGTGTGTACAAAACCCTATCAGAAAGCTTTATACAGAATTCTTTGGGAATTATAGAGACTTTCTAGACCTTCTGGGAAAGGCTCACTGGCTCTTTGAAAGACAACAAGGATGATCTGGATTCTGAAAAACAAGCCCTGCGAGGAAAGACTAAAAGAACTGGGCATATTTGGGTTTGGAGGAAAAAGACTGAGGGGAGATATGATAGCAATTTTCAAATACAGTAGTGCCCCGCATAGCGACATTAATCTGTTCCAGGATTAACGTCGCTATACGGAAACATCGTAAAGGGAAATAAAAAAGCTCATTGAAATGCATTAAAACCCGGTTAATGCGTTCCAATGGACTGAAAACTCACCGTTCAGCGAAGATCCTCCATAGGGGCAGCCATTTTCTGTGCCTCTTAAGTGAGGCAAAACAGCGGGCGGCCATTTTGAAACCACCCATCAGCTGTTAAGCATTGCTTTGCCATGATCGGTTCCGCAAGCAGGGAACCGATCATGGCAAAGCACTGCCAGCTAGCCAGTCCGGCTTCCCCCCTCCTTTCGCCCAGCTCGGGTGGATGGGGGGGAACAGCCCGGGTTGCCAGGGCTGGAGATGGGAGTGGAGAGAAAGGCAGCCCAAAGCTCAAAGGGGTTTGCGAACCCGGCCAGCTTCGCACACCCCCCGCCGCCCATCAGCTGTTCTTCAGGCTGCCTCTCTGTCCCCTCCCATCTGCAGCCCGGGTTGCCAGGGCTGGAGATGGGAGGGGAGAGAAAGGCAGCCCGAAGCTCGAAGGGGTTTGTGAAGCTGGCTGGGAAGCCATCTTAGCAAAAAAACCCCGCCCATCAGCTGTTCTTCGGGGCTCGCTCTCTCCACCCCTCAAAACACAGCTGATCGGTGGGGCCTTTGTGATCATCGTGGGGAAGCGCTTCCCCACAATCATCGCAAAGCAATTTTCCCCCATTTAAAACATCGTAATGCGATCGCTTTTGCGATCGCAAAAAATCAATCGTTATGCGGATTCATCGTTAAACGGGGCACTCGTTAAATGAGGCACCACTGTACTTGAAAGGTAGTCATACAGAAGAAGGTCAGGATCTGTTTGAGTCATCCCAGAAGTTACAGGAAGCCAGATTTAGGATAAATACCATAAAAAAATTCTTAACTGTTAGAGCAGTACAACAGAGGAACCTATTATATTGGGAGGTGGTGAGCGAGTTTGATTTTGGTTCTTGCATTGAGCTGGTGGTTGCTTTGATGGCCTTATAGGCCCCTTCCAGTTCAATTATTCTACGATTCTAAGATGGTTGATATAAATGTTCCCTTCTGAGTAGGGCTGTAAATATTCCCTAATTCAAGGATCTGTTTTTTTTCATCCGTTAAAGAGGTGTGCATGTTCATTATTACTACTACAGTACTAATAGTAATAGTACTAGAAAAGGTGTTCCAGTCTAGTGGTCTAGATTTTTTCCATGCCCTCTTGCTGAGATGGTAGCAGGTGATGGGGATATTGCCAAGTGGTGATGCGGGAGTTAACTTTGAGAGTAAACTCCACCATTTTGTCTTGACTTGAGGGTAATATGGTATGGACAAGTAGATGGCACTCATAGTTTTGGCTGTGGTCGGGAGGAGGGGGTGGATCATGGGGGGCGGAACTGGGGCTCGGTCTAAGCTTGTGCTGTTCTCCCCTCTCAGTGGGTGGAGAGTGGCTACTCTATGCAGTGGTGCTATGAGAACTTCATCCAGTTCCGTTCCATGAGACGAGCCCGGGATGTGCGAGAACAGCTGGAAGGGTTGATGGAGCGCATTGAAGTGGACATCACATCCAGTGAGGGAGACTATATCCCTGTCCGCAAGGTACCACTGTCCCCTTCTGCTGTTGCTCTCTCTGTGTTCAGCTGTCAATCTGGTGGGAAGGTTTCTAGAGCCAAACCCGTGGAAGTTCGACACAATATGAAATCCATCACCCAGAGAATCTGTCTTTTGTAGGAGGGGGTGGGGGGGGAGAAACAGAATTTTGCCTTGGAGGCTGCAGATTGCTGTGAACATTTATCTTTTTATTCCATCCTGTCTTTTGGCCATCAGAAGGGCCCCTAAGGCAGTTCCTGGATTAAACACATGCAAAAAATGCAAGGAAAATATAAGAATACAGAGTATGATGATTTAGTTCCAACCCTGCGTAAATGTAGGCTGGAGCGGAGGGGCTGCATGCAGCCTGTAGAATGTATGCAATTCCCCAGGGATGTTTTTGTACACCTTCTCCAAACCCTCCTCCCCCCTCCCAGCCCTTTACTTGTTCACTCCCCCACCCCAAGGTTGCTGCCATTTCTCAGAAAGCTCTTTCCTTCTCTCTACATGCATGGCGAGAGGAGGGGTTTTGCAATGTTTTGAGGAATTCCCAGCCCCTGTGATGTTTTTGCCAAATTATACTTATAACCATCAGAGGGTGCAAGCGTTTTTTTTTCTCTTAGAAGCTCACCACTTTTTTAAATAGATACACTTTCCATTTAATATAAACTGATTGTAGTGACCTTTACAATACATAACCAATACATGTTTTAAAAATGTTTTTAATTTTTTAAAATTAATTTCATTAATTAATGCATACCATGTCTTTTTCCTAGCAGAGGAACTCAGTAGTCATAACAGCAGTGAAAGTAATCATGATGCACAAATTAGCCCACTTTCGTGAGAGTGTGGCTTTTTGGGCTGGTGGCACATCTGAAAAATGGCCCTTGGCCCCACTGTGATTGCCCCACCCCTGTTACAGACCTGTCAAAATGCTTGAGGCAAGTTAGCAATGGCTTGCTTAAGTCCCACTGATTTCAGTGAGTCGTCCTTAGAGTAGCCACAGGAAGAAAGTAAAATTCTTGCCATAATCCCATATACACCCAATAAAGCATTTTGATGAAATTAAATGCCTGCAAAATGTAAATCGGTTTGTTAACACACTGAAGCCAGAGTCACCCCACCCAGATATATTGTTTCTGTTTGTTCTTGACTTTTTATGGCCCCTTCTGTTCTCCATCTACAGGCCATCACTGCTGGATTCTTTTATCACACATCCCGCCTCACCCGTAGTGGCTATAAGACCGTCAAGCATCAGCAAACCGTATTCATCCACCCCAACAGTTCACTGTTTGAAGAACAACCGCGCTGGCTTATCTATCATGAATTGGTCTTCACCACTAAAGAATTCATGAGACAGGTACGTCTCACAGCTGGGTCTTTGTGCAGGGGAGGACGCTAGGAGCATCATCTAAGGGTTATGAGTTCAGCTTTTTCCTCTTGCCTTCTGTTCTACCAAAGAGCTTTTTCCTCTTGCCTTCTGTTCTACCAAAGAGATATAGTTCAGTCATATAGCCTATATTTGCCACACAGCAATTTCAAGTTCGATCCTCCCTTCATTAAAAAGGATTTCAGATGGCACTGTCGGGAAGGATCTCTGCCTGAGAGCTGCTGCCAGACAGTGCAGACATTTCTAAACCAGACAAAGGATTGGAAGTTGGACTGCAGAACACTTGATGTTCCTTCCAGGACTGCAGTTTTATATACAGTATACAGCAACAACCTCTTCTTAGATCCTGCACAACACTCTCTTGAAGGTATCTTGGCAATACAGGGGCTTAATGACTTGCCATTAACCTGTGCAAATATTTGATTTGCACAGGTTAATGCAAAGGCTGAGACTGTTTTAGACCTAAGTAGGGCTGTTAAGGACAGGACTGTTTGGAGGCCACTGATTCATGGAGTCCCTGTAAGCTGGAAATGACGTGATGGCACGAGGCAACAAATCCCGCTCCCAATCCACACTGCCCCCTGCCTCCTACTCTTCCTTTTTCACCTCAGCTTCAAATGAGTGTAGACTTTATTTTACCTTCATGACCAAAGCAAAAGGAGAAGTCACCTCTTGTGTATTGAGGAAATAGTGCTGGTGATCAGGTAGGACATTTAAAGAAATGGGGACTCCGTCATGGGGAAAAATCACTTGGCAATCTATGTTCCTGCACCTTCTCCTTAACTTAGTGCAGTGATGCCTGCTCCTTCCTCCTGGGGACACAAAATTACTGTATCCTTCGGAGCCACAAAGAACTGAGGATGAAATCTGAATGCAGCAATATTAGGCCTGTGGTTAACTTTCTTCTGTTTCCTGCAGGTCATCGAGATTGACAGCACATGGCTGCTGGAGGTGGCCCCTCACTACTACAAAGCTAAAGAGCTAGAAGACGCCTCTACCAAGAAGCTACCCAAGAAGGTTGGGAAGACACGGGAGGAGCTGGGATAAGGCGAGGGCTACCCCTTCCCGCTGGCCCTGTGCTACCAGGCCACCCTTGCCTCAGGACATTTTTTTGTACAGCTGTATAGTCTCGATGCCACTTTGAAACAACAAATAAAACATTTTTATAAGCACACCTGGATAATCTACTTCCCCTTTATCCTAAACAAACATGACCTGCTTGGTAGGAAGAAGAAATGAATTTTTAAAAAAACCTTTTGCCAGTCATGAGCTTTCTGGACTCCAGCATAGCAATTCTGTCTTGGGTACTTTGTGTCACTCAACTACTCCTTCTACTGTATAACTCCAAACATTTGTACATGTTACAAGAAAAACTACATGGACTGCTGACTGTGTAACATTCTGTGACACTGGAGATGAGTGCTCTCATCCTTGTTATGATGGGACCATTATTAAATATGAACAAATAGCTGAACGTTCTTTCACAGCCAACTGTGGCAGTGTGTACTTGGTTTTGCTTGCAGACTTGAGTGACACTACCGTCTTTAACACGGCTTGATTCAGAAGAGTGCTTGTTGTCAGTCCTCAGAATTATTACTGAGCGATGACAGACATAAATACATGAATAGTAACATTGGTCATAAGGACACGAAGAAAACTTCAGCTTAAACTCAAATACAGTGCTGTGTGCTGTTAAAAAATCACGTCTCAGCCCAGTTAAGTGCCCATGAATTCTTCACAACCTAAGGTGCAGTTCTAAGGCCATAGGATTTTTCAGCTCTCCCGCTTGAAGGGAACAGAAAAGGGTTTAGTCTAATGGGAAAGTTGGCCCTGTATGCCCCTTCCTATTGTGGACACTCTACAGCTCATGCTTCTCTCACGTGCTCTGTATGGAGGACTTGGAACAGCGTCTAGTGTGGCTGAGAAGGCCAATTCAAGAGTGACCATCCCTTCCACACTGAGGACTAATACAATCTGTCCCCTGTCCAGCGCCCTGATTTTGCTGCTTTCGGGACTGCCTCTTTGCCTTGGCCTGCTGGACAAGGGTCTCTTTGAATTGAAGGCAATATTGTATATGCAGTCCAATGCAAAGAGTGTTCGGAGTTCTACGTTAGAGAAACCAAACAGCCACTATAGAGGAGAATGGCCCAGCACAGGTGGGGCAATGGCTCACGACCACAGTCAGCAGTGTTCCTTCATTTGAAGGACAAAGAACACTCATTTAATGACCAAGCTCATTTTGGACCGAGAAGATAGGTGTTTGAGAGAGGGGTTAGGGGGGCATATAAACCTCAATGGGTGGAGCTTTAGATACACTCTTTCTCCTATTTATCAGGCTGCCCTTTCATCCCTCCCCAGAAAGATCAGGACCACACCCACCAGAAAGACCACTGTTAACAACCCATGACAATGGGTAGAGAAGGAGTGCAGAGGTGGGATTTTCACTCACATCCCCCACCCTTTGTCTATCTAATGAGCTTATTCAGACCAGGGGGAAGGGAAACCAACGTGGAGGATACATCAGGGGTATCCGACCAACTCTCCACAGACTGAAGAAGCTACTTGGATGAGTAGCGAGAAGTTTCAGTTTAACTGTAGAACTGCAGAGCTGGTAGGGAACCTCTGGACTGAGTCCCATTCCCCGCCCCCAGAGGCAGAGTGAGGAATCAAACTTCCAACCTCTGGCTCCGCAGCCAGATACCTAAACCACTGAGCTATCCAGCAGTTCAATGAAAGTCACTGTTCCTTTTCAAGTGTCTCTGTAACCATTAAGGACAGAAGTAGTTAAAGGGAAGCTCAACAGTCTTGCATTGTGAAATAAGTAACACCATAGCTACATAAGCTTTTCCATAGTTGGTAGGGAACTTATTTGTGCAATGTCAACTCTATTAGACCCAGTGCCAGCTATATTAAGATGATGGGGTTCCCTTGTTGCTTTTTCAGTTGCTTAGGTAGACATAGCACTCTTAAGGTGGCAAAATGAAGCAGTTCCTTTTACAGATACTAGATTGTGGAATTAATTTTAATTGCATCCAAAAGGCTAATTTCCTAGACTCCTGGAAATCATCATCTCTTTTAAAAATAATCTAACAAAGCTAAGAGGTCATTAACATCAGCTGGCAATTTAACTGTTTTTTTTTAAAAAAAAACAGCAACACAATTCATAATCTAATAGATTGGCTGGTCCACCCAAAGCATTTTCAGCATAAACCTTTTATTATGTACAGATTAAATTACAACCATCTTTACAGTGCTTGCTGGTGCAATTCACAGCAGCAAAATGAGACAAGGCCCACACTATTTATACAGAGGCAGCACAGGTACACAATGAGCCACGAGTGGTATCCTCCCGGCCTCTTCCAACAAGGTGAGAGAGATACTAGCACAGGGACAAGAAGGCTGCCGGGCTTCCATTTCCTGGCGCCCATTTTCTTGCTCCTCAGTCAGCTGAAAAGAAAAGCAGCAGCGATGGTTTGTGATCTGAGAGCTCCAGGCCCAGCAAGGAGGCCACGGCGAGCTTTTTCAGCTTGCTTGTCAGAGGCTGGGATGGCATGAGCTGCGAGGAAACAAAACGCAAACGTCAGTGGGGCAGAAAAGCACTCTCTTGTTGAGACCCAAGCAACAGGCGGCCAAGGGTGAGGATTCCGCTGCCCCCTTCCCGCTACACGAGTGTGCATGCGTTGGCACTCACCTTGCTTACCCTGTGACACTTTATTAACCCTTGCGAGTTTAGGGAGAAAGTTGAATAGGCATCGTACATCCTGGAAGGGAATTTTTTTAAAGAACAAAGTCAAACAAAGGTTCCATTGGGTGACTTTCAACAGCAAGCAGTTTCCCAACATAAAAGAAGTGTGTTCTGATTATTTTTGTGATTGTATTCTAAGGGGGGGGAGACGTGGTGGCGCTGCGGGTTAAACCGCAGAAGCCTCTGTGCTGCAGGGTCAGAAGACCAAAAGTCGTAAGATCGAATCCACACGATGGAGTGACCTCCCGTCGCTTGTCCCAGCTCCTGCCAACCTAGCAGTTAGAAAGCATGCAAATGCAAGTAGATAAATAGGGACCACCTCAGTGGGAAGGTAACAGTGTTCCGTGCCTAAGTCATGTTGGCCACGTGACAATGGAAACTGTCTTCGGACAAACGCTGGCTCTACGGCTTGGAAACGGGGATGAGCACCGCCCCCTAGAGTCGGACACGACTGACTTATGTCAAGGGCAACCTTTACCTTATTCTAAAAGCCACAGGTGACACGAACTTCCTGGAAATTATAGGCAAGTGAGCGGAATGTATTTCTTACTAGGATTAGCTATAGCTGCTTAATCTTAGCCGTGGCAAACCACTTAAATAAATAAAAGTGGTTCCAGAAAACCAACCCTGGCCTAAGGGTTTACATTCAGCCCCTTTCCTGCATAGGAGGACTAATTGTTGGAAACAAGCAACCAGCCTAGTTTCATCTCTGTTGACAATGCAGGCAACAGAACTGTGTCCTAAGCAGGGTTGCTCTGAGAGAGAGACAGAGACAGAGAGATAGAGACCACTCTCCTTGGAGGACTCACCTGTAAAGTTCACGTTTATCCTTGTAGAACTGAAGGAGGAGGATATGGAAAGGCAACCCAACAAGCCGCCACCGGGCTTGGATGCTCCAGTTCTCTGGGTGTTGCGTCACATTCAGCACCTCCACACGCATATCAACAAAGTAGTTCCAGGCCAGAAACCGGCAGAGGGTCATTGCTATGCGATACATGACTTGGCCACTGGCAGTGAAGGTGGGAAAGTAAAAACAGGAGAAGGATTAGATTAGGGTGGGAATTCAGTCTTGCATATCATTACTATGGAATAACTCCTTTCCCCTATCCATCTCATCCTGGATTTTCAGATCCTCTCTCGTAGAGAAATCTATTCCTATGCTTGCATATTATTTTTTCCCCTCCCCTCAAATGGGGACCATTCTTCCACTCCAACCAAGGAGGAACAGCTTGTCCTGCCCTCTAGAGTAGAATGGCACATCTCGAATATTTTTTGCTGCCTCCCATTGGAAATTAATCCAAGAAACATAGTGTGGTTGCTCCCTTTGAGACAAGAATGCTGCGGATCATGATCATCTGCAAAACTATGACGGATGTTCCCTTCCCTCCTCTCCTTTCCCCCTTAAACAACAGAGACTCATTCAGGGACAAGTTTGTGTCTCATGTTGCAGTTCAAGCGCTGGAATGGACATAATGCCACATTTGTCACATGTCAAATGTCATCAGGAAATAAATGTTCATTTCATCTCACATCCTTTATTGTTTGTCAGAAAAGAAGGGATTGTCCACACGTTTAGATGCATGTCAGGGAGCGATTCACAAGCATGTGGGAACATTGGGAAAAAACACATGTTGGTCCCAGGGAGGGCATCCTAGGAGCCAGAGAAAGTTTCTGATCTCAAGGGTGAAGAGGAAAAGCTGCCCTTGAAGAGAGGGTTCTCATCCAGGAAACTGGAGAAACCTATATGAGCGAAACCTTGGGGCCCTTGCCTCCTCCCTTGAAAAGAAATAAGGGCACAAAGGGATGTATTCCACAGGTGACTTGGGGAAGGGTTGGAGTCCCAGAACCCCCAAGAGGTCACCTGCCATGCCAACTCAACTGGCAAGCCATCCTGGAGTTGACCTATAATTTCCTCCCATTATAATTGGAGCAATGCAGGACATGAGAAAAAGTTTAGAACCAGCAAAAGGATGCTCCACTTTCTATTGTGTCCTACTAGGTGTGAATCCAGAATAGCTTGGGGTTTGGTGCGCCCTCCACTTTCTATGCTTCCATTCACACAAAGTTTGCTCTGCTTTCCAGTGTCTCACTGTAACAGTGTCCCCAAGTAACAGGTTACCTAAAAAGCACCCACCAGAAGGAAAATGGATTCACATCTGCAATTCACAAAACAGGCTGAAGAGATTACTCTCTTGCTTCTACCCTAAAAATGTCCCAAGTGCTTTCAACTTCATCGGGAAGCTGAGAGATCCAGTAGGTCTTTTCCCATTCCTTATTCCCAGGACTTACCGTGTTCTCAAATGAAGAATTTCATTGATAAACTCTACATCCTGGGAATAAATTCTATAATCATGACTCTTCAAGAGGAGGTCTGGTAACTGGATGGGGTAGAAAAGAGAACAGGGAGAATGATGAACAGTGAGGAATCCCCCAACCTCATCACAGATTTCTAATTTTCCCTTGTCAAAGATTCCCTTTGTAAACTGTTTGGCCTGATTTTACCCAGCAGAATTGAAACGGTTTCCCTGTAAATTCTCATTTAAATCTGATCAGTTGATCTATCAATCTATCTATTGGTAACAACATGAAATAAGGGAACTGGTTGGGATTCAAAGAGACCCTGGCACTCTCGTCAAATACGTATGCACAAGAATGAGACTTTTACTAATGGTTGGATGCTGGAGTAAAGTGTCCTATTTCTCATGACTAGCTTCTTGGCTGAAGAAATGTTAAAGAACTTTGAAACAGGTCTGAGGGGCAATTATTGTTAGAATTTTCAAACCACTTTCATTAAAAAAAGGAAAGGAGTTTATGAACACAGACATTGTCTGTGCCAAGCTGGATTATATGCTTGTCAAGTGCCATTTTGTTCACAGTTACCAAAATCCTGTTGTGTAGGGTGGCAAGCCATATTAGAGTAGGCCCATTAGAGTAATCAATGGGATTTGGTGAGAACTCCTGGGCAGGTTCCATTGATTAAGAACATAGGAAAATAAGAAGAGCCCTGCTGAATCAGGCCAAGAGCCCATCTAGTCCAGCTTCCTGTATCTCACAGGGGCCCCACCAGAGGCCTCTGGGAGCACATGAGACCACTAGAGACCTGTTTCCTGACCCACCTCCCCTACCTCTGGCATTTGGAGGTCCTTCTAAGCATGGAGATGATACATCCCCATCATGGCTTGTAACCTGTGATGCATTTTTCCTCCAAGAATCTGTCCAATCCCCTTTTAAAGGCCTCTAGACCAGATGCAATCACCACATCTTGTGGCAAGGAGTTCCACAGACTAACAACACGCTGGGTCAAGAAATATTTTCTTTGGTCTGTTCTCACTTCCCCAACACTCCACTAGAGTGGATGTCCCCTGGTTCTGGTATTGAGTGAGAGGGGAAAAGAGCTTCCCTCTATCCACTTGATCCATCCCCTGCATTGTTTTAGCGTCTCAATCAGGTCCCCCCACAGGCGCTTTTTCTCTAGACTAAAGAGCCCCAAACACTGTAATCTGTCCTCATAAGGGAGGTGCCCCAATTCAGTCATCATTTTACTTGCTCTCTTCTGCACCTTTTCGAGTTCCACTATGTCTTTTTTGAGGTGTGGTGATCAGAACTGTACACAATACGCCAGGTGTGGCCTTACCAGCATTTTGTACAATGGCATTATAATTTATTTATTTATTTATTTATTTTCAGTCCCCTTTTTAATGATACCTAGCATGGAATTGGCCTTCTTCACTGCCGACACACACTGGGCTAACACTTCCATAGAGGTTTCCACCACCACATTGAGATCTTTTTCCTGATCTGTTACAGACAGCTCAGAACCCAAGTAGGCCTACTGCAGTTGTGACTTACTAGGTTAATGTAGGCTCATTACTTACTAGGTTAAAATGACTTACTAGGTTAGGCTCAGTAGAATCGATGGAACTTACAGAGGTTGATTCAGCGAGTCCCACTGATTCAGTGGGCCTACTCTAGTGTAACTCTCTATTGTAAGCAACAGGATTTTAGCCAATGTATGGCACTTTCCAGAGTTGGAGACATCTCCTGTTACCTGATCCTTTTAAAGGAAGAAGCCAAGAGCCAAATGTGACAATTTCAGTAAGTTATAGTCCAAATATTAGTTATAGTCCAAATAATAGGTATCTCAGTATAATACTCTTAATTATGTGAATTATGAAGACACTATAAAGAACTACATAATGAACAACTGTATTATAACAAGCACCCTTCTATCCTGCGAGGAAGAAAGATAAGATAGGAACAAACAAACAAAAGATATTCTATGAATGAGCTGAACCGCTTCGTGCCAAAAAATTCAGATACTTCTACACTGAAATTTCTAAAAGTGAAACAAATAATTCCAAGTCCTTGTTTTCTTGTCTGAGGTACAAAATATGATTAATTTACCTAACAGCATGTAGAGACAAAAACACCTCTTCCTCCCACACATACCAAAGAAAAAAACCAAACAAAAACTCTCAAAAAAATCCAGGGGCAAGAACACATTTTTTTCTATTTCATCCGATTGACATTTTTTCAGTAATAAAACTGGAAATTTTGGGGAACACACAAAAACACTACAATTTTTTTTGACAGAGTGAATTCTTTTTAAGACAAAGTTTTGCTCTTTCAACATGCCAAGAACTGTGAATTATGAAGATACTGATCTTTAACTCAGTACACTACCTTATGTACAAATCTTCATAATGCTCCTATCAGAATCACAGCAGGGTACACTAGTGCAGTAATGCATCTTGGATCTGTGTGTTGTATATGGCTAAAATGCACACGAATTACTGCTTTCAAACTCCTGTGTATATTTTAGCCATTTACCTCGACTTAAGAACTTAAGTTGAAGCACCATTTCCCATAGGAATGCATTGAAAACCAAAGGCAAAAAGACAGGGGAAAAGGGTGGAAATTTTGAAATTCCCGCCCCTTTCCCCTGCCTTTTTGCCTTCAGAGGTTCCGTTTGCAAGTCGATGCCAATTTTTGCAAACGGACCCGTTCGTAAGTTGAAATGTTCATAGGTAGGGACGTTCGTAAGTCGAGGTCCCACTGCTTGAACATCCAAGATGTATTCGTGCCCCAGTCTGTGGCCTGAGCTGGACTGGGCCGCAGAGACAAACCTCCCGCTTCCCCCTGCATACACTCCCCTCCCCACAGCTGCTTTGCACATGCATGCGCAAGTCAGCAGCAGTGTGAGTGCTTCCCCACCCCTTCACGCATGCACCCCGAGCACCCGCACAAAGCGGTGGGCGGGCGGGTGTGAGGACATGCAGGCACTCCTGTGCATGTGCAAAGGGGTGGGGGAGCGCTCACGCCGGTGCTGGCACAGACATGCATACTCCCCCACCACTTCGTGCATGCACCCGAGAGCATGTGCGTGTTGAGCGCAGGGGGTGCCCCACCTTCCTCAGAGGCTCAGCCCGTCCGCAGTCCCAAAAACGTCGGGGACCTCTGCCCTAGAGCATTTTCCCATCATCATGATGGAAGCATGATCCCAGCTTCATTGCTGGTGGGATGCAACACTTAAGGTGCAGCAGTTCTTAGCGTTCTTTTTGTTTCCTGGTATAGTCACAAGTTCGCTCACATGAAGCTAAGGTTTTTATATTTCCACTTTTCACAAATATACCTAAGAGTAAACAATTCCCTTTGCTAAAATACTGCATATATTTCTATTTTACCCAAAAAAATGTGCATGTCTCTCCTAAGAGAAAATATCCATTATCAACAAAATTTCTACAAACCTTTTATCTCTTCCTAAGCCCTTTTAAAGAGCGAACTGTTACACCAGTGGTTCTTAACCTTTGTTACTCAGATCTTTTTGAACTGCAACTCCCAGAAACCCCAGCCAGCACAGTTGGTGGTGAAGGCTTCTGGGAGTTGCAGTCCAAAACTCCTGAGTAACCCAAGGTTAAGAACCAGTGTGTTACACCTTTCCCTTTATTACCAAGAAAAGATAACTCATTATGGGAAACTGCACTGCTTTTAAGTCATTACTTCTAAGCTGTATGCAAGTGCATGTGTGTAGCAGGTAACGTCAGGGAGATGGAGCACAAAATGCTTTTAAGGCAAGGAAGTCTTCCACCTTGTATACAAGCCATCCAGGACGGAACCCAGCCTGCCAAGCTCCTGTCCTAACACTGAGTTCAGCCTAACTCTAGAAGATGTCCAGATCAACCATGCAAAAAGCAAAAGTGCTCAGCTTCAAAGAATACAAGGTCTGACATGCTTACCTCCGCCCGCAATTTCTCGTACAGGACTGCGAGATGCTCCTCCATGCTGGGATCACCTTTGCCTGGAGAACTGACTGGGGATTGGGTCCCAGAAGTGGCTTGGAAGGGGGCAAGTGGACCCAGGGCTACCTCCGAAGACGGGTACGGTGACAGGTACTGCCAGCCATGAAAGAGGTTGTGAAGAGAGTCCAGGGAGGCCCCATCGAGCCCTTCGCTATCTCGCACCTCAATGTCATCCTCTTGCCTCCCATTAACGACAGTGATGGCATCTCCCATGCCTTCAAGCGGGGAGAGTACAGCAGGACGGCAAAAGGCTCTGTTCTCTAGACTGTGCAATGGTGAGCAAAGGCTCGCCTTTGGTTCCGCATAGCCGGCAACAGCAAAGTGGCTTCTGGAAGGCATGGACGGAGTCAGGAAAATGCCGGGAGATTCCAGAGGTTTCTTGGAGACTGCTGATTGGAATCTTGGCCCGATGGAACCGGCAGGGAGAAGACCTGGAGGCAATTTATCCCAGGAGGCATCCAAGTCCTGGAAGGAAAGGACAAGGAAGCCTTTGAGAACAATGAAACCCGCATTACCTACCAAGTAGAGTCAAATCTGACTTTCTTACTCTTGAGACAGAAAAGCAGGTGGCTCTTCCACTGACCTCCTTCTCCCACATCACCCTGGACATAGAATGACCAAGACCAGAAGATGGCCATGAACTGCCGAACCTGCAGTTTGTGCTGGCTCGTACTTTGGCTGAACAGATGTTTGGTGCTTTCCAGCCCTGCCTCCTCTGACCGGCAGCCACCGAGAGGCAACACCCAAAACAGGCAGGCTAAGGAAGCTGGAGTGCTGCCTCTCTGAATGGGCACTTGTCGGAGGAGGCGGGGCTGAGAAGCACCAAACATTTATTTGGCCAAAGTACAAACCGGGCACAAACTTCCAGTTCAGTTCCATTCTTTTATTGGGGGCAAATCTGGAGTTATTGCGTTATTTTAAAGCCAAGTTCCTGCTTTTCTGCACACTTCGTCTTTCAAATAAATATGATGAGATAAATTATATACAATTCTACAATCTAAGTAACAACATCTTCAGAACACAGCCAAAGAGCCCAAAAAACCCACAACAACCATAAGTAACAATTCAATTGGCAAAACTAGGCAGTAAACACAACCCTGGCAAGAACACTTCTGCAAATTAGGACAGTGGAATATTACAGATCAGGAGAAAGGAGCACAGGGTTGATTTGAGTTAAAGAGAGAGAGGGAGAGAAAGTTCTTTATGGCTGCAAAGCAAACACTCGTAAGGTGAGAAGAACATGGTCTGAATCCCCTCTCTAGTAAAGAAAACTATGGATGGGTGGTTTGGG